ATTCAATGAGCATAAAAAAAACCCTCCCATGTTTACCACCACTGCAACTAAAAAAAAAACAGTATATCCATTCAAAAAACTGTAATTTTAAACAAAGAACCTAACATCAATAAACATAAAATAAAAGAACCTATCTTAATTTGAAGAAAACAGCCCCAACCTAAATCAACACCCCCCAGGGTACCAAGATACTTATATTAGACTGTGAAGCAATATCCTGTCATGTGATCTTTATACTATACTACATATATATATATATATATATATATTAGAACTGGAGAAATACAGTGACAATAAAAAATACAGCATATAAATTTATAATGCTATTCAACTTAAATTTTGAGTGCTTAGGCTGGATAATAATATTCACATAGATGACAGAGCCATTCAGCTTGTACTTCTACTCTAGTTTTACCCATTCCTATATTCTTACTTTCTAAAAATAAAACTTAAACAAATAAATACTGCATTAGTGGTATAATAATACTAATTGTTATTTTACTTTAGAACTCACACAAATTCTTGAGTCTAGCAGTATTACTAGTGTATGTATTATCTAATAAAGTAATAACAATTAAGTGGAATTAAGGTATTATAATTAAGGAAATAACATACTTAAAGCTAATTATAGCATCAATCCTAGTACTTAAGCCTTACTTCTAATTCTACTTCACTTCAGTTCAAGCTCAGTACTTGTTTCGTAAACTTGAACTGTTGAAGGGAGTAGGTTAACTAAGCCTTACCAAAAAATGTTAAGGGTTCATCTTCTTGGTATTCTTCAGGAGAATTGAAGTCCAAAAACTTTGGACAGCGAAATTCGTATCTAGAATCTTCCATTCCTAAGATTAAAATACGAGGGAACAATTATAATTGTTCGCTTCTTACTCAATCACTGACAATACAAAATAAATCCTTCTCTCCCGCCCGTTAGATTTTCAAATGAAACTAGTTTAGTGAAATCCGCCAATCATAATTTTAGAAAAGGAACATTCACTAGATGGCAGTATTTTAATAAATATCATTAATCTATTTATATATTTCTGAAAGATCCAGTATAATCTTTGTTGTTGTTTTTTATTATTTGAGGTAAATAATTCGTTTAATTTTTCTCAAACATTTCACAAATTTAGTGCCTTATAAATATTTACATTTTGTCAAGAATAGTTTTTATTTTGCTATTGATAACTTTGATAAGTTATCATAAAAATATGCCGAAAAGACTTAATTTAGTAACTTTAATTTTAGGATTCTTTATTGAAAACTGTACGAACCTTTAATTCCGTTCATCTGTATCGTAAAAATTATAATGTATTGATGTTTTCATACTTTCATATCATGAACTGATTGTTTAAAATTTAGTTTCGAAAGTTACGGCTGGAACAGCACGGATAGCCCATTGTATTGCTTTGCGCTTAACAACAAATATACAAAATTAACTGTATGCGCTGAAATATATATATTTTTTGCTGTTATACAAACATTAAAACATTCAGGTAAGCGTTTCATTAAATAATTGCACATCCATCTAACTCTACTTCGAACCATTTCGTTTCTGCTAAATTTTACTAAAATTTAGTTGTGATCCAAAAGGTCGTATTCTTTGAAATGTGCTGTGCTCATAACTAAATCAAGTGTAACAAAATAACAAGTTTTATACATTTGTGAGTCTAAATTTTGGCCCACCATAGCTCGTTTCAGAGATGCTCTTAAATATGTTTCAAGAAATAAATTTAAAACAAAATATAATTAGGCTGAAAATTAAGTTTTCGAATTTGAAATCATTTAATTAGAGAATTAATTTTTCTTCTTATGAAATGTAATGAAAATATTCACAAAATGGAACGATTATTTTTCATATATTGATACTAATTGAGGATCATATTTTTATAATGTACAAATGAAGTATGAAAACAATACAAAAATCCCTGATCCCTTCACCTGCCCCCCAGTGCTACAGCGGTATGTCTGTTGACTTGTACTGCTAGAAATTTGGTTTCGATACGAGTGATGGGCAAAGCACAGATAGCCCTTGGTGTAGCTTTGTGTTTAATAACAAACAATCACCTAACGTTTACCGCCTGTTTCATATTCACGAAATATTTCTAAGAAATTCCATTTAGGAAACGATATCATTTATAAGAATAAATTAAGATTGCTTGAAAATAGTTTATGTAAAAACAAAATTTATTGACTTTGTTATATTGATGTTATTTTAAAACTAATTTTGGTACGTCACCAGGTGTATTTTACTGGGCAAATCACTTGTTCATTTGAAGCAGACGACAAAATATGAATTTTATCTGTGTTACGTTAACTTAACGTGAGCGGGAAGAGGTGAATTATAAGACTAGTTTAGATCGATTTTTGTTTTGCTATGAATAATTTAGTGGTCTTTAGACCACTGTTTTTTATCCACGTGCCAAATGTTAATAACCTTGTTTGTGTTATATTGAAAGTTAAAAATGTTGACCCTGAAGAGTCGAGCCGTCAGAAACAAATTTTGAAATGCAGGTAACCTAAGGTTAAGCCTCGTAACTTGTAGTTATTAGCTACCAGTACCACTTTATCAGTATAGTCTGTAGTCCTACTGCTATATCAGAAGTCGCAGGGTTGTACTAACACTAACATATATATTTAGTTTTCTGAGACTCTTGGGAAAATGTACATTATAATATAGTATAGAGATACCTTTCAAGTTTCATGACGTTACGCATTTTACGCTCAAATAAACATTAATCAGAATACGCAACTTAAAAATTATCTAAAACAATTAAATGAAAGTGAAAAATCACATGCTTTGTAAAACGTAGAAAATTTAATTTTGCATTGACTTTGTAGTAGAAAATTTAATTTTGTAGTGTAGCTTTTATAGTAAAAACGGTATATTTAAAACAACAACAAAAAAAATAATTAGGGGTTTGAAACATGAAATATTTGACTGAATATTTTGTTAAATGTAAGATTATCATTTCATGATGGTATATAACACGTTCCTGGTGCAAGCTTTACGGCAGTGTGCTCTTGACAATACACTATTCTTGCATTTGAGATACGAATATTTCCTAGTTGTAAAAGGTTAAAGTTCATGGCATATGTTATTTATTGGAAAATAACTTTCTGAAATCTTTGCAATGGAGTTTCGTATACATTTATTACTTGCAGGGAACTCATTTTCACAGAACCCACTGTCATTGCTACTCCGTTATTGTGGAGTGTTTCAGAATTCCAAGTAATCCTCCAAGTAAGTAAGAATTAAAGCTTTTTAAGAGCTTCTTGTTTATGTATATACGTAATTAAGTTAATTAGGATGTACATTCCTCATTACTTTGCATGAATATTAGATTGAACACTGAAGAAGCTGACTGTCTTTACTGCTACAGTAAATGCAGGATTTACTAGTAATTATAAAATGAATACATTTAGAAACAGCAACTAATACTTTACATGTGTATTACATTGTTTTTAAATACGACCAGAGAGAACATTGGCAGACACAGAAGTTTCAAACCCGTCTAGAAAGAATGGATCTTCGAGTACTTGACTGCCATCCCGCAGCCTACAGTAGTTTACAGTCGTGTCTACAGTACACAATCAGGGCCAAACTTGCCCCGAAGTGGAACCAAGTAGGAACCCTGTTAGTTCAAGGTAAATACTGGAAGTTTGTTCTGGTTACTGATGCAAATAATCATGTTTCTAGGTGGCAAGTTATTGTATTATACTGGAACTTGCTATGTATGTGTCCAAAACTCGGAAACTACCGCACCAATCATAACTGGATAATATTTTTATAGCTGAGCAATAAATAAAACATTTGAAATTTTCACAAAAATTATATGTTTCAGATTTAACCAATAAATATTTACAAAAAACGAGTAAGTTTCAAATATAAAACAATCAAGAAATAAACTTAAAAAATTATTTATTTTGATTTAGTGAAAATCTCATCAGAAATACTTCAGTAAAATCTACTCTGTAATGATAGCTCAGTGTTAAACTAATTCTGATGGATGGTGAACATTCAGTAATGTTCAGGTATGAGTACATTGTTGTAGAACTGTCAGACGGTTAGAAACATATCAAGATGTGTGTGTACCAACATGACAGTTAGAAACATATCAAGATGTGTAGCAACATGACAGTTAGAAACATCTCAAGACGTGTAGCAACATGACAGTTAGAAACATCTCAAGACGTGTAGCAACATGACAGTTAAACATATCAAGATGTGTAGCAACATGGCAGTTAGAAACATCTCAAGATGTGTAGCAACATGACAGTTAGAAACATCTCAAGATGTGTAGCAACATGACAGTTAGAAACATATCAAGATGTGTAGCAACATGACAGTTAGAAACATCTCAAGATGTGTAGCAACATGACAGTTAGAAACATCTCAAGATGTGTAGCAACATGACAGAAACATGTCAAGATGTGTAGCAACATGACAGTTAGAAACATCTCAAGATGTGTAGCAACATGACAGAAACATGTCAAGATGTGTAGCAACATGACAGTTAGAAACAT